AGGCCTTTTTGCCATATCATATGCTTTTTGTGGAATTGTCGATGAAGCAAACGTATGTTATGCTACAAAAGTCGACTACTATACTTTATTTTTTTGAATAAAGTATTATTTTTCGTGATTATCAGTAAATCAGTAAGATGAGAACAACTTTTGGGGAAGCAGAGTTATGTAAAAATTCAATAGAAACGTTAGCTTAAGTCATATTATTTGTGGGAAAATTCTACTTCTACTAGTCCTTCATCACCCTAAACGAAATTGGGTGAATACATCTTATAGCTTAAACTTTACCTTTCCAATTGTTAAGGATTAAGGGAGGAAACCTTAGTAGAAATGATAAGTTTGACATAGCTTCCAGGAGGATACTGGGAGTGATATTGAATTAAACGCGGTCTTATTAATCGATTGTCATGTAGAAGCATCATATAAAATAGGGCTGTTAATTCTATTACAAGAAAGCTTGAGGTGAATTACTAGTTAGTACTAAAGGCAGACAAAGGAGTGGCCTTAGTACTTATGAAAATGACAGATTATCTAGAAAAAATGTTAGAGGCATTAGACGTAAAACTGTAGTAAAGCACCCGAGGGAAGGCCTTAAGGTCAGATTTAAGGGTATTTTGCAACAATGTGCAAACACCAGAGAACTGGAAAAGTGGAAAATGAACAAAGTTCTCCAGTGGGATGCTAGACTTCCAAACGTGTATGGTATGCCCAAAACTCATAAGCAAGGTACCCCACCATGTACTGAAAAGTGTGATATCCCCCAACAAGAAGTAAGGCTATTCCAGCCTCATCTTGATTAGTTGTTCGTAGGATAGATGTTAATAATAGAGCTAGCTGAATGCTTAAAAGATCCCAATTTACTTTTATTTGGTCAAAACATATCAGAACATTTAAATTGTTGTTAGGAATTCTTACTACTTTATAAAGTTGGTGGATGATCAGTCAAAAGTAAGAGAAGACTTGCTGATAAGTTTCAATGTAATGTCCATTTCCAGAAATTTGTTCAACACAAGAGGCAGTGAAGTCGTATAATTTAAGCTTAGATTTTCATTCTTATATCATAACAGATAAAAATCAGGCCGAGATTCAATCCTTAATTTAGTTAACTTGGCAATAAGTAGTATATTTTTTACTGTCACTGGAATGTCATAGGAAAAATCATATAGTTTGTTGATGGTATCATGTTTATCTCCTATTTTAGCTAATAGCTTCATGGCTCAATGAGAGGTTTTATTTCTTTAAAGAGAAATTGTCATTTACAAACTTATTAGTTGACGATTAATTTGCAGTTTTGCAACACGACAAAGATCATTTGGAGGAATCCCTTGAGCTGATTGATTGACTAGATAACAGTATGAAATCGAATATGGCTTTAGGAAAGCTTGTCGATGTCTTTGACAGCAAGGAGGGCAATTCGGTGGGTATAAGTGTGCATATGGAGCCCCACAAACAGATTTCCTTATTAACTTAATATCTAATCATCAATTTGGGATACAGTGGGAGTTATTAAATCGGTGTTGACAAGGAGTCTGTGTCTGACAGACGTAAATAACAAGGATCTCGAATGCAATTCATTTGTCTCTATGACAAGTTATAGCTCCGTGCTGAGAATGGTGAGTCTCAGTGAAGATGCCAACTAAATTTCTGGGAATTCACCAAGTCTTCAGTATGACGCTGAAAAATATAATGTGTACTATTGCAGAGGATTCCATACAAGGTAGCTTTCACTAGGTTTCCCTGGAAATACGACCAAGTTGCGAAAATGAGGTCACATCACTTAATCTAGAGTAAGTTTGTGGTAGCCAGCACCTTCATGGGATGCCTAGGTTATAAGAAGGTGTTAGAGTTACAGCCAGTCTCATTTTCTCTTGGAAGAACAGCTTGGTTCGCTATTTCGTAAAGTATAAATTCTGGAAATTATCATGCATACTATAGACTTGTTTAGATTGTCTATGTCACAGGAAAGATGACAGATTAGATGGTTAGAGAAACTTTTATTTTTTATAAAAGTGTATGAAGAAGATATTCGAAGATTCGATCTCTCATCTTATGTAAACACAAGAAGTAAGATGGAGCCAAGGAGTCTTATTGGCCTTGTGTTAAATTGAGACTTCTATAAAAATGAGTTCCAGCTCTGCTAATTTCCATCCTATAATTGAAAATGTCCAGCTCTTTTTCATCATGCGCTGCGTTAAGACTGAACTTAGTATGAAAGCCGAACAGCAGCAGTACAGCAGGACTCAGCTGTCGTCTTCTGGTGAGATCGAACTTCGAATCTTTTGCACCTTCATGCTTTAGTATACACATTGTTGTCTTGAAAGATTTATCTACAATGAAAGATTTGCACGGATTCATCGGAGTCTCAAGAAGTTGAGCCGAGGACTTCTTTTCACAATTCAGCAATTTTCACTCTGCAACAAACCTCCCGCGGTTTCTGGTAAGACCAATTCACGACATTTTCTTTGAACCAACAGTTCCCTCGAAATGAAATTTGAACCAAAATATTAAAGAATACCTTTGTCAAATTTAATTGAAAAGTTACTACAACTTAGATTATTGTCGAAAACTTTAGCTAATTATCCTTTATCATTTTAAACTAAATAGGATAAATACAGCACTTTTATAATTCTACAATGTCATGTATAGAAAAGAGAGATTAAGATCAATCGAAAGCAGAAAAATCTAAGTCATGCGTGACCAACCAAGTTGTGAGTTTGTGCAGATCTGTAAGTGGAATACAACAAAGACAATCTAACCTCAGTTAAAGTCGGCAAATTGGCAAGATCATCATATAATTCGTTATATTCACAAATGTCTTCGGAAGTAGGAGTGGCTTGCTTTGGGCTCGTCATTGTAATCATCTCATCCCCAATGCCTCGAGGTCTGCTGACTAAGTCCAAGTTTGTTTGTTGAGCTATTTGGCTAATTTTATTTGATTCTTTTATCAGTGCTTCACAATCATTTGTATGACATATTGTCGAGTCCAGTTGAGGATTCCGAATAGGCAGACCAACTTCACATGCCTCAAATTCTGCATGATATATCTTTTCTGGCTCATTTTGTTCAACTTTATTGTGACTTACTATTGAATTCGACTCCTTTGCAGCTTGCACATCCTTACAAGATATATCTGAGTCGCTTTTTATGATGTTTACAGATCTGCTTTGAATGGCGATGTCATTAACGAATTTACTCTCTGACATGCTTATTTCTGTAGTGGTCTCTTTTCGCGTAAACACGGTTTCTCTGGATAGAATGTCTTTACTATTCGATTCAAGTAAGACCCTATCCACTAACGAAATAACGTCAGCATCTGTACCGATTTTGACCGGCTCATAGCATACTAGATCGTTTTCTGAATTCTGTTTAAAAGTTCTGGTAACCGTTTGTGATGGACTAAACGATGGTGCTGATGACAAGATTGGGGCTATCGGGCAATTCGCAATTGGTTTCTGTGAACTTGACTTCAGTTGAACTGAAGAGCATTTATGAGAATTCGATATTGTAAGTAAAGGTAGCTTCCGAAGACTGCCTTCGTTGGAATGGCTCCTATTCCAAAATTGTGTGGAAACCAATGAATTATGTGTAGAAGGCTGGAGGAATGCTGCTGACGAAAAGAGTTGATTAGTTTTCGAAGGTGTTAGGAGAGGCGAAAAATCTGGGAAAGAGCAAACCGGCTCCGAATATGCAGAATTCAAAGAGAAGGATTCTGAATTTATACCAGCTGGCAAGATGTCATCTGCTCCAGGAGCCTCCTCTCTTCCTTGTTCTAACCGGAATTGCGGCTCTTTGGCCTGTTGCCTAGTGATAAGTGTATTATTACAAAGTGAAAATGAGATTTGAGAGCTCTGATTTGTTATAGATGATGGTGAAGGGCTAAACTTTGAGTTTAGATTCTCCTTCAAGTCGGGTATATCGGGAACTTCAGGGATACCTAGTCTATTGATTCCAAGTCTGTGATCAGGGTCCCAGTTTAAATTATTCAGGAAGGATGGGGAATCTATGGCTAGATCTTTGGTACAAGGCAAGGGATGATTTAAATGCTGGAAAGAGGAATCGCAAGGAATTGCAATTTTATGTTGTGAAGAAAGAGCCAGCTGGAATCTAGTGGCATGAACTGGTAGACTTGACGTCATGACGTTATCAAATTTCTCCTTGCCTTGGCATTTGCTTGATTTAACTGTTGAAGATCCTGTTGGAAAAAAATAAAATATACATATTAAATGTATAATAAATACCTAGCTTAAAATCAGATAACGAAAAGTTCATTTCGATAAGGACGATTGTGAAACTCTTCATTTCAACAAGTGACATACTATTACTCTCATTTATTTATTAGACTTATTGAGTCTATCCTATCAGATCTATACGGTGATAATTCTGTTAAGGATTGTAAAAATGTACAATTCGTCCTCATTATTTTGCAAATAAATGATTATCCCGTGATGAGTGTTCATGAAAAAAGATTATGAATTGGCTTTATATAGACCATTAAAATGGTATGGGAAAATATCAGGAAGTCGTGCAGAACTTTAAGCTCAGAATTGTCAGGTTTTTAGCCCCAAGCTATTTCTGCCTCCAGATCAAATCGGATTCAATCAGACCGAATTAAACAAATCGTATCGGTATTCAACACTATTCAACTATCAAAGCTTGGACGATTAACTGAAAAATCGACTTGTAATTTCCGTATAATTTCATTATTACAACCAGATCACACATAAGTTATTACGGATGATTGATTGTGGGTTTAAAAGCTTACGGCATGGAAAGAACCTCCACCCCTTGACCAAAAGTCCTATTATATACATAGTTGAAAGAGCTTGAAAATGTCTTTAGATTTTGCATAGGGACATGAATAATTTAATCTTAATTTTGAGCCGGTATTCAAGACTACAAGTTAATCATAAATATGAACTATGTTTAACCTAGTTCGTTCAAAGTCATATGGTACTGATATTTGAACTTTTCAACTATTATATGAGTAGTCATGACGTTTCTATTAAATTTCACATAGCCTTGGTTTATAAAAAGGTAAATTCATCCAAGGTCGATTGCAATTTCGACCTCGCCTAGGTCCTATCAAAACCCCCATCAGGAATCGAACCATGAAAAAGCAGTGTATAATCTCGACATATCAACCACTACACTACATTTCTACAAGTGTGATTGGGTGACAAGGCAGATGTAACTTTTAAGCAAGGCCAGGCATTTTCCAATACCACATTCTGTGGTGTGATTGTCAATAAAGCAAACCTATATTTGCAATGGCAATCAAAGACATCCTCTATATTCCGTTTTGAGTAGGTTTTTAAGACTTCCAGCTCATATATTTCTAGACAGCCCATATATATGATTTACAGATAGTCCAGAAAACCTACCTAAAGCGTCGATTGCCATAGCAAATCTAAGTTTGATTAATCAACAATCCAATCATAGAATGTGACACCTCAAAGTGTCTTGCCTTGCCTCAAATTTACATTTGCCTTGTCACCCAAAGGCGTTCGTGTAAATGTGGTGGAGTGGTTACCATGCCGAGATTATATGCTACACTGTCATGATTCGAGT